TTTTCAGGTAATTACCAAAACATACTCAAGTTATAGTAATGGATATGGCTGAAAGTGCACACTCTTAGGTTTAATTTGAGGGAATGTACATCCAAATTGGAAGAAGGGTTTAGGAATTACAGCTCTTAAGAGTAGCCACCCCCCTTTTTCAAAGGACCAAAAATAATTTGACAAATGAATATAACCATAAATAAATGTTCATTGTTATTTTGTTGAGAATCTTTTACTGGCAATGACTGCCTGAAGTCTGGAACCCATGGACATTACCAAAGACTGGGTTTCCTCCTTTCTGATGCTTTGCCCGGGTCTAACTACAGCTGTCTTCAGTTGTTCTTCGTTTGTGGTTCTGTCTGCCTTTACTTTTACCTTCAGCAAGTGAAATTCATGCTCAAGTGGGTTGAGATTAGGTGATTGACTCGGCCATTGCAGAAAGACTGAAATGGTATTTTTAATCCCAGAACTTATATCATTTATAAATATATCCAAAGTAAGGGTCCCACCACTGAACATTGGGGTACACCACTAACACCCCTAGACCATTCAGAGTATGATTATTAACCACTACTCTCTGAATACGATCTTCTAGCCAGTTTTTTCTACCCATTTACATACAGATTTTTCCAAGCCCGTGTTATGAGGAACTGTGTCAAACGCTTTTGCAAAATCCAAGTATACTACGTCCACCGGCCGCCACCCCTCTGTCCAAGTATACCACATCCACTGCCACCCCTCTGTCCAAGGTTTTGCTCACCTCCTCATAAAATAAATCAGATTTGTTTGACAACTTCTGTCTTTCATGAATCTATGATGTCTGTTGCTTAAAATATTTTTTTCCCAGCAAGAACTCATCCTATGTGATCTTTTATTAAACTCTCCAATATCTTCCCAACTATAGAAGTTAAACGAACCGGTCTATAATTACTTGAAGATCTTGACCCCTTTTTAAATATTGGCACCACACATGGCCTTACAACGCCAATCCAGCGGTACTATGCCAGTCATTAAAGAATCCCTAAAAATTAGAAACCATGGCTTTGAAAAGACTGCGCTCAATTCTTCAAGGCCCCGTGGGTGTATGCCATCTGGTCCAGGTGCTTTATTCACCTTTATTCTGTCTAAATATTTTTGGATCATATCAGTTGTGAGCCAATGTGGATCACCTGGAGCTGTGTCAATACCATGCCCATTATGGACAAGAGCCCCCCCCATGCTCCTTTGTATACACAGAGCTGAAGAAGTTATTAAGTAAATTTGCCGCCTCCTTTCTCCCCAATCACCCACTCTAGATTATTTTGTAAAGTGCTTACATGCTCAGACGGGACCTTTTTACTATTAATATGTTTGAAACATTTTTGGTGGTGTCTTGGAAACTCGCTTTTAACAAATTTTTCCTTACCGTGAGTACTCGCAGTTGGATGCGCAGAAATCCCCCATAAAGCTGTGCGAATCTCGCTTACCACGACTGCAGCTTAGCCCCATGATTCCTGCGCTGGGTTTAACTCTGTTGAGATGTGAGGAAATGGAGCTCCTATACCTGGAAATGATCACACGACACTCTCAGGTTGCTGTTCGAATTCACATAGAGACCGATCCAACCCCAGCCTCCCATTTTTATTTACAAGCAGACACACGCCCCCCCACATGAATAAGGTCAATCCCCTCCCACAGAACAATGCATGGGGAATGCCTATACACAGGATGTACATTCCGATTGGAGCGTAGCCTTTCCTATTATCTATCACCGGTCCTCCCCCCATGAGCCCTCTGAGGTCAGCAGACTTCCTCACCTCCCCCCCATGAGCTCTCTGAGGAGAGCAGACTTCCTGTCTTAGCTCCTAGTGGTATGTAAATTCTCTGTACAAGCATCCCTAGATTAAACATCAGTCTGTATCTGAATGGGCCCGATACGATCTTTATTAAAACACATCCATCCAGATACAGCTCAGGTCGGTAGTGGTTGTAGAGATATCCATGAGCCTACACGCGGAGTTCGCATTGCCTGGCGCCTAGACATACGAGGTCCATGTGGTACTATGCTGCTGATATTTGGATACAGGCCCGCGGCCTACCACCGGCGGCATTCACATCGAATGCCGTGGTGGTATAACACGCCGGCCTATAAGAGCAGATCTGCCACCTCATCCATTACCGAGCTGAGTACTGTAATACATACATTGTACATGCGCATGGCCTAATTGCAGCCTTCAGAGCTTTAATTAAGCCACACGAGAGACATATGAATAACACTAATATATGACACATTTAAAGTTCAACCAAAAATACAAAATGTCCATGACAGTGGTTGGTCCTGCTATGTTTTGCGATCCTGTCATTTTCAGTTTTTGTGGCCTTTTTTTTTTGCATGTTCGGTTATATTCTTTTTAATGTTTAAATGATAGTGCGCCTTCATTTTTATATTTAATAAAAGCTCTTTTCTTCTTATTTATATTTTTTTTTTATCTTTTGACCGTAAGCCCACATAGGTTTGATTTTTAGCCGTTTAAACTTGTTGCCCATGGGAATATATTTTGCAGTATTTCACAGTCATTTTGAAGAACTCCTATTTCTGTGTTGTGTTTTATCGATGCCAGTATTCCCTCCGAGTCTAAGTCTTGGAGAGCAGCTCTCAGTCTTGGAAAATTAGCTCTCTTAAAGCTGAGCATATAGCGCTGCGTAAATTGATGGTGCTATATAAGTAACTGTAATAAATATGATTCTCTTGGTTCGCCATCTTTTTTTTTCACTTAATGGGCAGCATGCTGAAGTTGCATTATCTTGGCACCCAGCACACCATGACGGGGCTGTACAATGTGCCGCGCTGGCATTGCAATCAGCAAGTACTGCTAGCAGGTAAGTAAGTTTTTCTGACAGAAGAGACATGTTAAGTCTCCTCTACCAAAAAACCCGTACCTTCTGGCAAATTTGAATTTTCAAAGGGTTCACTTTTTAAATATTTTCCAGGGCTGGCATGCAATATTTTCCAATGCATGGGTAAAACACAGGTTTGCAGATGTATCTTCAATTTGTCTGTCACTTCTCATTCTACATAAGTGACACTCTCCTTGCTCTGGAAGGAGATCAAAGCGTTTCACGGTAACGTGGTGCTCTCACACAGGATACCATAAAAGCACAGAAGCCCAATTCTTCCAGAATAAATGAAAATCTCACACCCTGTGAGGTGCATGTCGTACCACGTAAACAGCCTATTAAGACATAATTGCAAGACACTGGAAAGATAGAACATGAAATTGGGATGATTTCAGGAGAATGTTTTCCTTGGAGCATCAGCAGTCCTTCTTGGGGCCAAATACCACTTCCTCCATTCCTCCTCCTCCTCTTGCAGTTTGATTATAGCGGAGGGAATATCATCCACGCTGTGACCTGAGCTGTACAGGAAGAGAACACCTAGTGCCGGTTAATAACACGAACTCAATTTTTGGACTTGGAAAAGAGATATATGGTTTCTTGTTTTCTTTTTGTAGAAATTGTTGCATAAACTATGTTACTGGCTCGGTGGATAAAGCTAGTGATTTCTAACGAACAAGACCAAAGAATGAAAAGACTTAAAGTGAACCTGTCATAAGTATAGATTTTCGAATACTCTCACTTAAGCTGCAATGGCATCACCCCTACAGGAGACGTGTTATTACACGAAGCGCGTCTAGGAGGAGCCTCTGCACGCCTTGACGTCACTCCACCGGATCAGTAGGTCCGGTGGCCATCATTTTTATCCACTGGTCAGTGCATTCAAGAGCTCATTCACACTATATTTGTATAGGTTACTATCACCCTGTACGTTTACTGTTTACCATAATGATTTATACCCAAATAAATACATTTCACAATACTACACCATGAGCGTTTTCATCTCTATTACCTGGCACTGAGCCTCCACATCTCAGCCCAGCATTTTAGGAGTCCACCCAGGCTGGAGGATTTGGGATATAGGTCCAGACCATCATCTCTGGCAGCCGTCACCTCATTAACCACCAGAGGATACCTTTATCATCAGGCTATACTTTCACGGGACCTCCGGCTACATAGAATTTCTATGTGCACATTAAATTGCACTTCCGGTGAGTGGGCAATTTTTCTACACCTTCATGTTAGGATGCTGGAATATACCCATTTGGATTGAAGTCATATATACTCCATCACTGGAATATACCTATTTGGACTGATATCATATTACCTCGGACTGTTTATCATTCAGTTTATAGGACCTTTTCTACTTTTTGTCATATTTTGTTATATTTATGACAGTGTGTTTTATTTACCCCATTTTTATGTTATAAGCTGCAATAGCTGTTCGCAATAATCACCGTGTTCCCCCAGCAGGGACTGCTTCCCTTGCGCCTTCCTACTGGGCGAGCATATTAGCTCTGCGGGAGGAATTCCCCCATCAAAATCGCATCGTCTTTGGCCAGCTTTAGAGTGTGTGTTTGGGCGTTTTGTCTCTCTATAAATGCTGCAAGTACAGAAAAATACTTGCTGGTCTGCTAGAAATCCAGTTAGCTATTAAAGCTGAGCTCCACCCAAAAGGGGAAGTTTTTTGTTTTATGATCTTGTCCCCCGCTCCCCATTAACCACTTACAGTTCGGACACTTTCACCCCCTTCCTGTCCAGACCAATTTTCTGCTTTCAGCGCTATCACACTTTGAATGACAATTGCGCGGTCATGCAACTATATGAATTTTTTAGCATTTTCTTTTGAGACAGATAAAGCTTTATTTTGGTGGTATTTATTCACCACTGGTATTTTTATTTTTTTTGCTATGTAAATGAAAAAGTCCAAAAATTTGGAAAAGGTGTTTTTCTTATAAAATTTTGCAAATAAATATTTCATAATAAATCTTGGCCCAAATTCCGTTATCTTTTTAGTAAAAAAAAAAAAAAAACCCAAATTAGTTTATAACCAAAAATTATAAGTTTTACACATTTAAAAAAAAAAAAAATTTTTATATTTATTTTTTTACATTTTTTTTTTTTTTACATACTGTCACCCTAGCAGTACAGTGTCACCATGGTGACTGGTGACACTGTACTACTTGTGAGAGGGGTGATGAAGATTCACTATATCCGCTCTCCCCGGACCCTGCATTCACTATATCCGCTCTCCCCAGACCCTGCATTCACTATATCCGCTCTCCCCGGACCCTGCATTCACTATATCCAGTCTCCCCGGACCCTGCATTCACTATATCCGCTCTCCCCGGACCCTGCATTCACTATATCCGCTCTCCCCGGACCCTGCATTCACTATATCCGCTCTCCCCGGACCCTGCATTCACTATATCTGCTCTCCCCGGACCCTGCATTCACTATATCCGCTCTCCCAGGACCCTGCATTCACTATATCCGCTCTCCCCGGACCCTGCATTCACTATATCCGGTCTCCCCGGACCCTGCATTCACTATATCTGGTCTCCCACAGTACACAGAACATGGAAGTGCAATTATTTTAGTAAATATAAACTGCTAAATGCCTTTGCTTATCTGCAGTTAGAGCAGCCTTGTAACTTCAGCAGAGCACTGGTTAAAGTTTGTAGGAGGAGTGCTGATTGGCCCTGTGCTGATCACATGCACTCTCCCAAGAGAAGAGAAAGATCAGTGCTGCTCTGTGCAAAATACAGAGCAGGCAAATATGACGTGTTTGTTATTTAAAAAAAAAAAAAAAAAAAATCCTTTAACATCACTTTAAAGTGATTGTAAATATCTTCTTTTAACCGCTTCCTGACCACCCTATAACAGATATACTGCTACAGGGCGGTACGGGTGTGCAAAACCACGTAAATATATATATGTGATTTTGCATTTCCGGGCAGGGGGCGTGTGCGCTCCCTACCCAGCTGCCATTTGCAGCCGTGGCTGTCAGTCACCAAGTCCCGGCTGGTGATTACTTGCCGACACCCGGTGATTGCTGAGCATCTCCGACGGGGAGGAGAACTTTATGTAAACAATACAGTTCTCCTCCCGTGCCAGCTCAATCCCAAACTGTGCTCCATGTGTCCATTGACACACAGTGCATCTTAGCCCAAAACGCCCAATTCTCACCTGCTCCCTCATCACTAGATTTGATAGACAGCAGCAGGAGCCAATGGCTCCCACGGCTGACAACGCTGTCCAGTGAGGAGAGAAAGAGAGCCGCTACTCTCGAGCTCATTGCTGGATCGAGGTGCATTAAGGTAAAAAAAAACCCTTCAGCCTTTACTACCACTTTATCATGTTAAAGATTTATATGAGATTTTAGCAATTGGGTTACTGTATATTGGTGTTTGCTGTTTAACCAGTTATAGTTGGTCATTGCTTTGGTTCTCTAAATTATAATTTGTTCTTCCTGAAGCTGACCCTTTCTCTGTCTTTCAGTGACATCACATACAATGTCCTGCTGGAAGCTGTGACTGTCCTCATCGTGGTTTTGTCCTATCAGCTTTTCCACAAGGAGATCATCCATGAGAGCATCATCCACAAATACCTGATGCATGGCCGCTGGTATGTTACCCACTTACCCAATCAAATGGCTAGTGGTTCTAATGAGTAAACCGTTCTGAAGGAGGCAGTGCTCTTTTTTCTCTAGTAGCAGTCAATTATTTAGTACCATCCCTGTGCTATGCCAGAGCATAGTCATTTGGAAAACCTTTGTAATGTTTTAGGCATGTAGAGTTGTACCTCGGTTAATTTAATTTTCAGTTTCCGAATGAAAACCCATTGCAAATAATGCCTCGGTTTACAAATTTTTTTACAGATTCTTTTCACAATATGAAGTGTACGTTGGTGCCGATTATTTTATTTTTTTTACTGCAATTGCCGGCCTTTTTTTTTTTTTTTTCTTCACTATAGCTTACAGAATTAGCTGTCACTTTCCCCAGAGCTAAAGGATATTTTGTTTCTTTTAACTCGGGGAAATTCTTTCTAAACTCGGGGAAATAAACTAAAAAGGGAACTTTCTTTGTTTTAACTCAGGGAAATAAACTAAAAAGGGAACTTTCTTTCTTTTAATTGGGGGGAAGTGACAGCTGATTCTCTGAGCTATAGTGAAGGAAAAAAAAAAGATGGTAATTACATTTAAAAACCAGCATTGACCTATAGTGACAGCTACTTTTTTAAAAACTCTTTTCTGACCTCCGGAACGGATTGATTGGTTTTAATGCATTCCTATTGCAAACCGCATTTCGGTTTACAAATTTTTCGCAATACAAAACGTCCCGGAGAACGCATTAAATTTGTAAACCGAGGTACGCTTGTATTTATAAAACTATCACCATACTGATAAAGTAAATGACTACAAACCATTCTAGTCTCTCTTCAGTATTATATTGAATTTATATAATCTGTTTTGCTTCTTACAGTCTTCCTTACACTAGTCGATTGGTGAAAACGTTGCTTTATAACTTTATCCGCCAAGAAAAAAGCCCGCCTCCGGGGTCTCACATTTTCCAGCAGCAGGCAGACGGCGGGGGCCTTCTCTATGGCCTGGCATCTGGGGTGGCAAGTGAGTAACATAGAATTATACACACAAAGAAAAATTACACATAAATCTGCATAGCTGTTTTTGATTTTTTTTTTTTTTCTCCATCGTACTGGATGGAAATTTGGAGCAGTTCCAATTGACAATATAAACTCTTCAAAAACATATATAATTAGCTAGCAGTAGTCCGTCACATTCAACTGGACCTGGTCTGTAATGTTGAAGGTGTTTCGCTGCTTTTCCGTGTAGCTTCCTCAGTTTTAATGAGTTCAGTGTGGGAGGGAAGGGTGGTACATGCCTGAGCTTCAAGCTGAAAAATATTGCAAAATGGGTGTGCTCCAAGTTTGCTGGCTTCCAGATATTCTGATGTCAAGAGTATGACATCCTTTGATTCCTGCTGTGGTTTTCTAGTTCATCCACTAATATTAGATTACATAAGTATGAATATAGAAAGCTTGGATGGACTTTGTATTTGCTCTTTTCACGACAGTGCTGTCCTTATGGCAGTCATGCACACTTACTGGCCTGTGATCAGCAAAAGATATTAACAAATTTTGCAACCTGTCTGAGATGCAAAGGTAGATTTTTTGAATATTATTGAGTAATCTTTATTGTGGAACACAGCCTGACTGCATGCAGGTGCTTTTTGGGTGCGTGTAACCACTTCCTGTCTGGCCCATGTATATAAACGGCCGGATGGAAGCAGTGCAGGGGCGGGTGGCCGTTTATAAACTGCCTCCGCGCTTCCTGGGACACATTGGAACACCAATCGTTGTACGGGACCACTGTGAGTGGTGCCGATCATGTGATCACCGATTGGCCAATCAGTGATCACATGAAGAGTAGTAAGCAAAATGTCACTTCTGACTTCATTGCTTACTACATGTGAAATCTGTGAATGATCATAGAGGTCACATGGTACAAAGCTATTCACAACATCCTTGTACCATGTGACAAGCTGTGACCAATCACAGCTTACACAGTATTTCTCAATGGCTGCAAGAATGCAGCCAGAGAGAAGGAGAAATTACTTTTACTGCCTTTATGGGTTTAAAAGCGATCATTGTAAAAAAAAAAAAAAAAAAATCTTCATCACCCCCCACAAGTAGTATAGTGTCACTATAGTGACACTGTACTGCTAGGGTGACAGTATGTAAAAAAAAAAAAAAAACCACATAATAAGAAATAAGAAAAATACTTTCTTTCCAAATGTTTGGACTTTTTCATTTATATAGCAAAAAAAAAAAAAAAAATCCCAGTGGTGAATAAATACCACCAAAATAAAGGTTTATCTGTCTCAAAAAAAAAAATGCTAGAAAATTCATATGGGTACAATGTTGCATGACCGCGCAATTGTCAAAGTGTGATAGCGCTGAAAGCTGAAAATTGGCCTGGACAGGAAGGGGGTAAAAGTGTCCAGGCTTGAAGTGGTTAAGACCAGCCCTTTTCTGGCATTTTTTGTTTACATGTAACAAATAGTATTTTTTAGCTAGAAAATTACTTGGAACCCCCAAACATTTTTTTTTTTATAGCAGAGGCCCTAGAAAATAAATTGTTGGGCTTTGTCATTTTTTTATGTCACATGAAATTTTAGCAATGATTTTTTTTAACAGTTTTTTTGGGAAAAAATACACTCTTTTGAATTTTAAAGGGAAAAAAGCAAAATACATAACCTGATTTTGTGGTAAAATGTAAAAGATTTTACGCTGAGTACATAGATACCACACGTGTCACGCTTTAAAATTGCGCCTGCCTGTGCAACAGTGACAACCAAAGTAAATTTTACTGTTCACTCTTTAAAAACCTTTACAGGTTATCACTTTAAATTTACAGAGGAGGTCTGGTACTAGAATTACTGCCCTGGATTTGACAGTTGAGATACCTCATGTGTGGGACGATCACTGCGTGCGTGGGGGGGACAGAGCACTTTCATTTTTTTAAATGATTTTCACACTGTCGCTTTAAAAACAAAATGTTTTAATCACTTTTATTGCTTTCACAAGGAATGTAAACATACCCTGTGACAGCAATAGGCATGTGACAGGTATTCTTTATGGAGGGATCTTGGGTCAATAAGACCCCAAATCCCTCCTCCTGCCCTTTAAAAGCATTTAATCACAACAAGATAAGTGTGATTAAATGCTTTTGTGTTTTTAAAAATGGCGCCTTCGATTTCTGAATAAACCAGCAGTGATGTCAGGTCATTGCTTCCGGGTTACTATGTAACAAAGCCTATCCGGTTTTGTGCCGGCTGGTTGACCAGGGCTCCTGATGGGAATGGAGATCTTGTTAAAGCCACAAGACGTGGCAGGTGTACCCTCCCGCTGCTTGTAATAGCATTCAAGCTGCTAGTTGTCCGCTCCAATTGTTATTAGAAGAGAGCCGACGTTTCTAAAAAAAAAAATGGTACCGGGACGATGCGTGCAGCTGCCGGCATCATCTCAGTATAACCGCTCAAACTCCCAGCGATGTATGTGTACTTAGCTGGGGCTGAAGTGGTTAAAGTAGAACTATAGGCATTTTGGATAGCGTAAGGGAGGGTTTTAACCCCTGTAAGATTTGTTTTTGCCACCTCTGTATTTTTGGCTCCCTTCGGGGGAGATTTCCCTTCACTTCCTGTCCCATAGCCAAAAGAGGAAGTGAGAAAAAATACCTCCAAAGTGAGGGAATCCCAGATTGTCACCAGAACTAGTGTCTCCCTGGAAGGTGTCCTCACTGTTTCTGTTTTTGGGAACAAACCAAAATTTGGTAGACTGGGCAAAGAGAGAGAGAGTGGATTTTTTCTCAAAGGGACACAAACGGCACAAACAAACAAACTAGATCCCTGTGCTCAAATCCATACAGCTAGTGCATGCATTTATCCATCAGGTGCTAAAGGGGTGTAAC